TCCAAGAGTAATGTATCGGCACAATCCAACAGCTTCAAGAGCACAGTATCGACAACCGAATGCTACGATTTCGTCAGATAACGACAAGACGCGTGAAACCTCGAATAGCTACTACGTACGTAAAGCAAACCACAAAACCAGATTGCCAACAAACAATAGCCGCCCGTACAGTTGAACATTTTCGCAAATTAAACAATGTGGTGATCTCAGACACTACCCTAAAGATATTGTTATATTCCACAGAAGAAAACTATACTCATGACAAATCTACTACTTGGATAACCGTGGTAATTCTAGAGCTAATACACGCGAAAAAGCCCGACTTCGGAAGGGCGGTATTTATTAGTTACAAAACCAATGCGCTTCGGCGGTTTCATGGAGAAGTTCTGACGGTAACATTATACCAAACAAGAAAATAACAACCAATTCAATGGTAGGCTTTAGTATCGAACACGATTGGCCTAGACTATACGCATCCAACGTTTGAATAAAATATAAAAACAGAACACGGTTAGCTTACAGATACGAATCTTGCATGTATAATACCAGAAATATATATACGCGTGCGTGCACTATAGCTCTCTAACAGACACCAAGTGTGTAGAGTTCACATCCAAATAGAAACAAACCATATCAGTCGACTTAAAGACATATATGACACATAAATAACCATGTAGCAACGAGACCGTCGCAAATTAACCCACAAAACACACGCATATAATTGATAGTACAAAATGAAACATACGAATTATCTAGAAAATACTTTATCAACAACCGGCTCCTATTTTCCTGTACAAGACGAGGCCTATACCAATTTATTTCCAGTTAATCGTAAATTATTTTAGAACTTACGGAACTTCTTGGAGCCCTTCATCTGCTTCTTCGCGGTACGAAGTACGTTGAAGCGAACAGTCTTGGATAGAGGACGGCACTGTCCGACAACAGCCTATGCATATAAGAGAGTAGAACATACTTAGTTTACCCTAAATATCCGACCCGACAGAAAAGTCGTACCGAACCAATACAGATGATATGAAACACTACGATAACAGCCGGAATGTCAGAACTTACCGAATCTCCAACAGACACATCCAAGAAAGCTGGTGACATGTGAGCGGAAAGATTCGAGTGACGCTTCTCGTAACGCTGGTACTTCTTGATGTAGTGCAGGTAATCTCTGCGGATGACCACAGTGCGCTGCAAAATGATGGACATGAGCGTATTTAAATAATGGCTTCGAGCGTCTACGTAGAGGACTACATTGAAATCAAGAGCAAACTTAAATATATACACAAACGACACGGATGCACAAAATTTGCATCCTGATACAAAAAAAAAGTATGTTTACCGCGAGAACGCAAGATTTAAAAACAATTTATGACGGGGAAGACGTGCTTACATTACCACCTGATGTATGAACAATAATATATTTTAAACCTAACTAGCTATAACAGGGGATGCAACTGTAACAATGTCGGCCGATATACATATCACATGAAAATATACGCGTACCAATACAGAGCATATCGTCTAATACATACGAACAAAATACGCGCCTAGAAGACAAGATGCACACACGAATTCTGAGGCATAGTACACTAGCTTTTCCTCACAGATACATATTACCACACTGTTGACTTTCTACCCCTAAAAGAGATTCACATACAAATTTTTGACCAAAATAGAAGTGCACTACGACTCCCAATTATATATGTATATTACCGTCGAGAAGAATGCTAAAATTCAAGATACACATATTCTGACAGAATATCCAAATATCTACGATTCCCCCATATATAGAGATATACGCATAGTACACGCCACCGATAACTCCCATGTACGTATACCCCTAAAAATTCAAATACGAATTCTGACTAAGCAACCAAGTGTATGCGATGGCGCCATATCAATAAAATATCCCGCGACATACTGTATTGCAAAGCACATTTTACACGCATCTTCCAAAAACAACTATACAAACCTGCATCTTCATGGAAACAATGGTTCCGTTCAAGATACGTCCACGGATGGAGACATCTCCAGTGAAGGGACATTTCTTGTCAACCCAGTGACCATCATAGGCTTCACGGGGAGTCTTGATACCTAGACCAACATTTCGCACAAATCGACCAGCTCCCTTGCTGACCTTGACTCCAGGGCGGGTCTGATTGTATATGTAGGGATGTGTATATCCGTGTCAGAATATAATTACAAATATATCTATATATATCTGCGTGTACATACGTACAAGTGTATTCAATAACAAATTAAGATATAAACATGTGCAGCTAAGCACAAATTTCCCTCGAATCTTTCTTTGACATCTAGTTTTGTCGTAGCGACATTATTTTGCTGTGTTGTGACTTTTTCCGGCGTTTGACAATATTCCTGTCAATGAATCGAGAATCGACCGTACATGATCCTTACATGTCCTTCTATGGGTATAATTGTGTGAAGGCTGCTGTGTATTTTTCCTCGTTCAAATGACCACCACTTATTATGGCCTGCGCAATCTGATGATTCTGACTCGAATCAAGTATTTCTTTCTTTGTATACATGTTCGCTGCACAATGGCATTGTATATTGCTGAACTGACTGTACTGTGTGGATTTGGGTATCCCTTCCTAACAAGTTACCTTTGCAGCCAGGAAGATGGTAGGCTGCTTCTGGAAAGCCTTCTCAGTCTGGTGGATATCAGACATGGTTCAAGTTTGCACCTTACACGACACTGCAAAGAAAAGACCAAATCACTTTGCAGGTGAGTGTATTTTACTGTTCGTGTATTATTGGAATATAACACATGCCCCAGGAACTTAGCGGGCATGGGTCCTCGTTATTTGTCTGAAATACACTTGTGGTTTGGCTTCTGATCTTTGGCAAAAATGTATCAAAAATGTGTCGCAAATAAGTTCTCCTTACATCTCAAAACTCTCTAAACTACCACGATAATTGTAAATTTCTTTTTTTAAAATTGGTTAAAATCCCAAAATTTGGGGCAATGGTTGCCCTGTGTAAAATTATAGGAACAAATTCTACCCCAAAACCCCCTTAAAAAAGAGACCAGTGTGGTTCCTATACCACTACATATCAGCAATATTAGGGATTTTACACATTTTTTCCGCAACCAAAATTGTCTTTGTGTACTATATTCTGTAGGGGTGGGCCTAATTCAAAACACACGCGTTGGAAATTAACTATATGCTCTTTTTGCAATTTCGGGGGGTCTGACTTTGAATTCTGAACTCGTGGGTGATCGCTTGTTGCAATGCTACAATATACAGTGGTTGCACACAAAGTCTCTATCCTTTTCAGTCACTATGAGGTACTAACTACCTCTAAAGTTTATTCGACTGAAAGTTAGTGCTATCCGTGGTGGCGATGTCGATGTTAGTATTACGCTAGATCACTGTGTGAGTTCTGTACTGTTAACATCATATTTCATGGACTGGTGAACATCATGCGTTTAAAGAAAGTTTAAATCAATACCGTTTGCGGAGAAATTCAACATCTGCATTTGTCCATGTGCATTTAGAAATACAATATTGCTGACAATGTTTATTTACACTATATACATACAGTCATCGTAAGTTTGAAGCCCCTCGTCACGGTTCCCTCGGGTTCAACCCCCGTAAGCGTGCTGTACGTCACGCTGGAAAGATCAAATCTTTCCCCAGAGATGACGAGTCCAAGCCTTGTCACTTGACCGCCTTCCTTGGTTTCAAGGCCGGCATGTCTCACATCGTGCGTGAGGTCAACCTGATCGGATCCAGTATGTTTCCATGTATTTCTTTGCTCGGTATTTAGCGTGCATTACCTGTATTAGGAACAAACTCTTCTCGATACGCTACGTATGTGCAATAGGGCACCCATTTTCAAAAGAACGAAGTTCACCTCTGCGAAAGTTTTGCGCATGTGCTCAGTAGTTTATTTTGATGCTAACCCATCTGTTTCGCATTCTTCCTCACTTGTGCGCTCTTTGTCGTGTGCGAATTTTGCTATTGCTCGTATTTGCATTGTCTGTACACGTGCATGTGTGATATATAGAGGTCCACAAGAAGGAGGTCGTGGAGGCTGTCACCATCATCGAGACACCCCCTATTGTGGTCGTTGGTGCCGTTGGATACGTTCAGACCCCCCGTGGTCTGCGTACCCTAACCACCGTGTGGGCCCAGAACTTGTCCGATGACGTCCGTCGTCGTTTCTACAAGAACTGGTTCAAGAGCAAGAAGAAAGCTTTCACCAAGTACGCGAAGAAGTGGGGTGATGAGAACGGCAAGAAGGAGCTTGAAGGTGAGCTTGAGCGCATGAAGAAGTACTGCACTGTTGTGCGTGCTATTGTGCACACACAGAACAACAAGATCCGTGGTGCCCGCTCTAGCTCTCAGCGCAAGGCTCACATCATGGAGATCCAGGTCAACGGTGGATCTATCTCCGACAAGGTCGACTTTGCTCGTGCCAACTTCGAGAAGGAGGTGAACGTGACTGACGTTTTCTCTCAGGACGAGATGATTGACGTGATTGGTGTAACCAAGGGTAAGGGTTTCAGTGGTGTCACTGCCCGTTGGGGTGTGAAGAAGCTTCCCCGTAAAACCCACAGAGGTTTGCGTAAGATCGCCTGTATCGGAGCGTGGCATCCCGCCCGTGTGTCCTCCACGGTTCCCCGTGCAGGTCAGCGTGGTTACCATCACCGTACCGAGCCCAACAAGAAGATCTACCGAATCGGTGCCGCACCTTCTGTTGTTGACGGTAAGGTTGTGGACAACTCTGCCTCCACCGAGTACGATATCACCGAGAAGAGCATCACTCCCATGGGTGGTTTCCCTCACTACGGAGAGATCCAGAATGAGTTCGTTATGATTAAGGGTTGCTGTGCCGGACCCAAGAAGCGTGTATTAACCCTAAGAAAGACTCTGCTTACACAAACCAAGCGTTCAGCCCAGGAGAAGATCACGCTCAAGTTCATTGATACTTCATCCAAGTTCGGACATGGACGCTTCCAGACCAAGGCCGAGAAGGTTGCTTTCCAAGGTCTCCTCAAGAAGGATCTGGAGAAGGCCGACGAGTAAGTGGAGTATTCTCTTTCTTGAAGTCATTAAAGATCTTCCCCCTGAATATCAGTTCGTAGTATTTAGGTATTGCTCTCGATTGAAGAGTTAACCCGGGTAGTTATGTTCAGCGAGTATTGTTTACCATTTCAACTAAATCGAAGTGAGACATAAACCGGAATGCTGTTAATCCTTGATGATATGTTTTCATTTACAGGAGTTTAACATGCGATATAAATTTGCGCATATAGTCATACATAAAACAATTAAAATAGATATACACCCTATGTGTACATCTAGATGTATGTATTCAGGTATTGCATATATTCATAATGTATATATATAGTATTTATACATACATTCTTAATGTATATATATATATAGTATATATAAACGCACACACTTAAAATACACATGTACTTAAATATTGTATATCCATACATAATATAGATATAAAGATATACATGAATAAATATTATATACAAATAGACGCAAACAAACAAACACACACATACATGAATACACACACACACATTTATATATATACACATACTTAAATATTGTTTATACTTACATAATATATATAACATACATAATATATATATATAGATGTACATAAATAAAAATTGTATTCAAATAGACACACAAGCAAGCACCCACATATATACATGTATATATACATATACATATACATATAAATAAGAAAATGTATAAACTTATTTATATAAATTGTATTATACACACACATATTTATATATATGTATACATATACATACACACACAAA